TAGTCCCTCCGTCTGTTTGCTCCTGTCCAACATGATTAATATTCACTAGCAGCTTCCCAGGTCCCTTTCCATCCCCTACTTCAATACAGAGAAGGACAGGGCTCTGTCCCCAGGACACCCCTGGAACAGTGAGCCGTAAGTACACCCACCCTCAGGGAGAGCTCACTGGGCCCCCCGGTCCCTGCACCACCCAGCAGGCACCAGGCCTGGGCGCTAGGGAGGCAGAGGGGATAAGGCTGGCTGCAGTCAGGCTAGGTGGTCATGGTAACACAGGCCCTGTGGTCCTGCCCTCTTCCCAGGCCTCCCAGTTCCTGGACAGTTTCCTGGTAAGGAACAGGTCATCTGATCCCCAGGCCTGGGGAGCCGAGACTAGGGCACAGTGGAGCCTTGGGTCTAAAGGTGCCTCTTGGTACTGTGCATCCCTACTTCGGAACATGGGAAGCTTGCTCTGTGTATGGATAGGATAAGGCCAGAGGTGGTGCCAAGGGCCCAGCCCAACCTCCATCTCATCAGGAAGATCCTCTCAGGCCTCTGCCTGCAGGCCTCCATGGCTCCCAGGTACCTGGCCTCACATGTTAGCCACAGGAACCCCGTCACTCTTCATGCAACCAGGCCACCTCCAAGCTTTCTCCACGTCTTGTGACTCCAATATGACAGGTGAAGGGGCTAGGCAGCTGGTATATTGCACCTGGTCTATAGCTTGCCTCATCTTTATTCTGTGGTGAAGACACAGCAAAGGGAAAAGGCCTGGTCCAATGTCTGATGCACCAAGTTGATCTAGCATGGTGTCAATGGGGTGATTGTGGCCCTGCCTCAGGGCTGTGTTCCTTTCTCTGTCCTGCAGGACAATGCCATCCTCTATCGCATGGGGCCTCCAGCTGCTGGCCAGCCTATGCTGCTTGCTCCCCGGCTGCCTGGCTGAAGACGGTCAGGAGACTGCTGCTCCCCAGCAGGACCAGAAACACCCAGCCTTTCACAGGATCACCCCAAACGTGGCCGACTTTACCTTCAGCCTGTACCGGGAACTGGCTAAGCAATCCAACACCCACAATATCTTCTTCTCTCCTGTGAACATTGCCGCAGCCTTGGCCATGCTCTCCCTGGGCACAAAGGGCACTACCCACACAGAGATCCTGGAGGGTCTGGCCTTCAACCTCACAGAGATTACGGAGGCAGATGTCCACGCAGGCTTCCAGAGCCTCCTCCACTCCCTCAACAGGCCCAGCAACCAGCTCGAGCTGACCACAGGCAGTGGCTTGTTCATCAATGAGAACCTGAAGCTCCTGGAGCCATTTTCAACGGATGTGAAGAACCTGTACCAGTCAGAGGCCTTCACTGTTGACTTCACTGACTCTGAAGAAGCCAAGAAGCAGATCAACAAATATGTGGAGAAGGGTACACAGGGGAAAATTGTGGATCTGGTGAAAGTCCTGGACAAAGACACCATGCTTGCCCTGGTGAATTACATTCTCTTTAAAAGTAAGGCTGCACAGCCAGCCCAGCTGGTTCCCATGGAAACACACCAGTCAGTGCCCCCAAAGGGTGACCTGAAAGACTAATTCAGAGAGGAGAGGAGGCCCAGTGACCAGGTGCCAAAATATGACTGATAATCCAAACTGTCTTTGTACTGCTCCTCTTAATAATCATATATGCAAATACAGATGTCCCCTGATCAGCCAGGAGGGCAGCCTCCCGTGTGACACAGAAATTCCCTATCTCCTCTCATCACTGAGTCCCCAGGGTGGTCAGGATGACTGTGCCCAGATCTCCTGTGCTTGACACAGCTGAGCTCCAAGTCTCACCACAGACACCAGAGTCTCCTGCCCTCCCTAAACCTAGGCCCAACCACTTGTGTCCCCCTGCAATGTAGGCAAGTGGGAGAAACCTTTCAACCCGGAGCAAACCAGAGAGGGGGACTTCCATGTGGATGAGGCCACCGTGGTGAAGGTGCCCATGATGTACCAGATGGGCATGTTCCGAGTCCATTACTGCAGCAAGCTGTCCAGCTGGGTCCTACTGATGGGCTACCAGGGCAATGCCACCGCCATCTTCTTCCTGCCAGACCAGGGCAAGATGCCACACCTGGAGGCCACACTCAACACAAGCATCATTAGACAGTTCCTGTGCACAAGTGACATAAGGTGAAACCTCAGGCGGGGACTGACCCAAGAGCCCAAACCTCTGAGCCATGTCAGGGATGACCATCAGGACAGGACAGGCAGGGCAGGGGAGGAGGAGTTGGGAGTAGGGGAGCAGCCCTTGGCTCTAACTGAGTGTATAAGCTTGTGCTGAAACACACAGCCTGTTCTCAGTTCAGGGAGAAGCAACAGGGACATGGGAAGAGACAGAGTAGGAGCCCGTGAGCTATTTAGGGACATCCTTCCCAGAGGACAGACCTTCCTATAGTGAGTGTCCAGTGCAGGAGCAGCACAGCAGGACAGGCCACAGCAATAAAGCACAATGGAGAGTGGACTAAGGCAGAGAGTCCAGGATGGCCATGGAAACATCTGGCTTTAAAGGACCAAAACAGGGAAGGCCAGGAGGAGTCAGTGCTGGACACTCAGACAGGAATTTCCACTGCTCAGACCCCATCCCAGTGGTTTATCCACTCCTGGGTGTCCATCACTCTAGAGCCTGGCCCTCGGGTCAGCACACACTGGTGCATCAGCAGTGAGCAAGGCCTGCTGCACGGAAGTGTGGTATATCACCCTAGAGCTTGGCCCTCGGGTCAGCACACACTGGTGCATCAACAGTGAGCAAGGCCTGCTGCACGGAAGAGTGGTGTATCACCCTAGAGCCTGGCCCTCGGGTCAGCACACACTGGTGAATCAGCAGTGAGCAGGGCCTGCTGCACGGAAGAGTGGTGAACGCTGTGAGACACAGAAACACAGCAGACACAAGGCAAGGCCCACCGTGAGCAGAGGGGTCACCACTCCACTCCAGCTGGCTCCTCATCAGACCCTGAACCCAGGCTGAGCACAGACCACAAGGCCAGGCTGAGGCTAGAACCAGTTGCAGGGCCTGAGGGCCAGACACTAACAGAGGCCCAGCCTTCAGCATCAGGGGACATTTTCTCTCCTTGATGAGAGGTGGACAGCACTCTGCTGCTAGTGCACAGATACCCAGAGTATGAAGTCCAGGCATGTCTCTGGCAGAGGACAGATGAGCAGACACACAGGGCAGGATGTCCCTGACTCCAGGAGCTCACTCTGCATCTGAATGCAGGGCTACTCAGAGTCAGGGGTAATTCAGCCTCTTCAGGACACAGGGAGTCCATTAATATTAAACTTCACTGGCACTGGGTGTAGAGGACCCAATCCTGCTTTGGACACTTCCCAGAAACTGTGGCAGGAAAAGCCAGAAAAGAAGACATTCTTACATGGCATTCCTGGAACACTGGGAGAAATGCTGAAATCCTCCTTTGTGATCTTTCTCTCATGGCAGCTCTGCATCTATATACTTCCCCAAACTGTCCATCTCTGGAACCTACGACCTCAAGTCTGTCCTTAGTGCACTGGGCATCACCACGGTCTTCAGCAACGGTGATGACCTTTCCAAGGTCACCGAGGACGTCCCACTGAAGGTCTCCAAGGTGAGGTCACCTGATAAGGGTGTTTTCCCCGGTGCCTTTGGGGCGTTAGCAGCAGCTGGAGATTCATAGCTCAGGCTCGGGGCTGAGGGAGTGGCCACGTCACCACTAAGGTCCAGGCTGAGCTCTAACAGAGGGCTCACAGAGAGGAAGGATACAGGAGACACGGTGGTAAAGATGGCTCCCACTGAGCTCATATGCTGGGGAACTGCTCAGAGGTTTCTCATGGAGCCTCGCTCGCTTTTTCCACAGAACCCAGAAGTCCTTGGGCTCATTTTTCCACTCAGTTTAGAATTAATTATCTCAGAGAATGTTCTAAATTTTTCCACATGTACTATCTAGAAGGACTATTTCACTACCAAATTTAAATTAAGAACACCAGGTCCTCCCAAAACCATTTGTTGATGAAAATGAAAACACCCAAGGCTACCAGTGCAGCACGTCTGCACAGCGTGGGGACAGGGCCCTGTGAAGGTCACCTTCACACCTGTCCAAGGAGCTCCCAGCACAGAGAGGAGGAGCCATGTGCAGGAGACATGGATAAAGGGCATCTCCACTCCAAGCTCTGTGTGGGAGAGACCAAGGGAGCAGCTGGGTCACGCTAGGGTTGGACAGACAGAGGCCTTTGTGGTCAGTCATGGGCATCAGGACTTTCCTGGGGAAATACCCCAGGGAGGCCGACCCTGGAGCTGTCTGTATCCTGGGTCTGGGCTGGGTGGTGTGCAGAGCATGAGAGCTCAGGTCAGAACCCATGTCCACATCTCTCCTTAGGCTGTGCACAAGGCTGTGCTGACCCTGGACGAGAAAGGAACCGAGGCTGCAGGGGCCACATCTTTGGGTGGCGCGGGCATGTCTCTTCCCCAGGAGGTGAATTTTAACCACCCATTCCTCATCATAATTGTTGATGAAGAGACTGAGAGTCCCCTCTTTGTGGGCAAAGTGGTGAATCCCACAAAGCAGTGACCTCTCTAGGCAGGTCCTTTCCTTGATGGCATTAAACACAGGACAAGCTGGCCCAAGCCTCATTCAGGGTGACCTTCACCTCTGTCATGATGTGGTCTCTGTGACGTCCTTTGCACCGGAGAACTTGAGTAGACCCCAGATCCTTGTCCCTCACTGTCCTTCACATTCATGAGTCCCTGGACAGGGCAGGCAGGACTAGCACAGGACCATGTCAGAGACCTCACTCGATGGCCCTGAATCCATCTGAATCCTAGAACTGCATTTGGTCTGGGAATCCTGTGGTTCTATGGCTCAGACACCAGTGTTAGGCCCAGGATCCACCATGTCCCAAGTCCCTGTGGGAGTGCTCCCCACACCCACTCCCTCCCCACAGCCACTTCCACAGAGATGGCTGTGACCACCCAATCCTACCCTCTGTTCCCGGAGCCTCCTGCCCAGCCTTGGTATCCATGCTCCTGTCCAGCCATGGCATCAGTGGTGGCCTCTCTTGCCCCTGAATGAAGAGGACCCCATCCCTTCTCCTTCCCTTGTCAGCTCATTCCTGGCCTGGA